CTCCTTGTAATATTATACTAGTTAAATTGCAGCATGATACGATTTACACATGCAGTGTCATATTTACTAATTTTTTTTATAAAATAATAATATCAAATTTAAATCAAGTTCAAAAGCTTTTTACCCATATTTTACATCAGTATATTCAGCTGGGTTGCATCATCAAAGTGCATAAAAACATAATTTTTATTTTTAAAATTTCTACCAAAATTTTAAAAGTTTTTGTCTTTAGACTTACGTAACTATATTCAAGCACCCATCTCTACAGATGCACATCAAAAGTATGCAAAATTAATTTAAAAAACAAAATTAACAATTGGCAGCTACCTGGAAAAAAAAAATGTCTTAGAAGGGCAAAATTTAGGACTTCGCTCTAGATTTTTTTAAGTCTCAATTTTGTGTCCTTAGGGTCCATAAGTTATAGTTCATGAAAAATTTTACCGCAATTTAAATTATTTTATACACCGCCCCTCAAAGGGTTAAGCTAGAAATTGTTTTTAATTTAATGCAAATAGTGTTATGGGTTGGCTGTGCCAATGCTAAAGCTTGCTATTCTAGAACATTAATTTCATAAGACTCTTTGAATAAGATCTTTTTTTTTTAATGGATTGTTACGTTTTACAAATAAATTGACAGTGAACTTATAGTTGTAAACAAAAATGCATAGAATTTGTTTCAGTAGCAATCTAAAAGTGTCAGCTGACAAGTTTCAAAAGAAAAAAAAAGTTATAAGATTGACAGAAGAATAACAAAACAAACATAATGATGTCTTGTGCAAACTGAAATTTCTTTCTTGCCAACCCAATGCTAATATGTTTGGTACTTTGCCTCACGTTTGATATATTTTAAATATTGGTGAAAGTGTGTGGATAGCTATTTTATGTTTACTAGGTGTTCATGCAGTTCTTGTTTCAGATTAAAATTTGCATTTTAGTTTAAATATAAAGCGTTCATGTAATTTTACTTAGGTTATTTTATTAAACAGTGAAATTCAATTAATAGCATTTATATGTATATATGTATATATTCAACTGCAGAAAAATAATCTTTTTTTTAGGACTAGGAAAATGTATGAGATTTTTAAATGAATGGCTGCAAAAGTTGAATTATTTATTTATTAAAAGGCACAAGGACATGAAAGAGTAGTGTTTTTACTTGGATGCAGATATTTCCAGATAAAATCAAATAATGTGTTGAACTGTAATAGGTATAATGTGTAATTTCATTTGCACTCTTTTATTTTATCTGCATCTTTGCAACAGACCCAGCTGTGAGCTTCAGTTGGTTCATACCTGTTTGACAAAACCACATCCTGATTTCTTTTTTGGAAAACTAATTTTTGTAATTATAATATTGATGCTACTGATAGTCAACCTGGTCCCTACCACTTACTAGTGGGCAATTTTAAGCTTTAATTTTGAACAGTATAGGCGTCTGTTCTCGCTTGTGCAGATCACTTCCATTTCCATGTATAAAGGCTCGTTTCCATTAGTGCGTTGCTAACACGTAGCGTCATTGGGAGAAACGTGTATGCAGACGGAAGACTGTTTACAGTATTGCGGTGGATTTACGTGTATGGAAGTTCGCTGGTCGATTGCATTTATTGCCACCAGATGTCTCTGTATTTAACTTACGGGATTTGGACAAATTCGATGTCGTTGCAAAATTTTATTTCTGCTTATGAACTGGGAAGTAAAGCACGCTAGCAATTTTTAGATAAGTAAGGTAATAATCTATATTATGAACCATCTGTAATTGCATTGAAGCTGAAGGAATTCTTAAAAATTTCTTTGCATTTTTAGAAGCCTTAAATATTAACGAAATAATATATAATTAAAACTAAAATGTACTGTTAATGCAAAACAAAGAAAAAAAAGTTAAACACATTTAAAAATAGCTAGTACTTTAAAAATACAGAGCAACTGTAAAGAAAGGTTCACAATATTTACACAAAGTCTGCCATACTTGTAATACTGTGGACTGCCCCTTGAGACTATATTTTTAAAATATGCCCACATTTCGGGAGAAAACAGATAGCATATAAAATTTTAGCATCAATTTCTTCAATGTCATAGCTGGATAATTTAATAGAAATCTCATTTGTTTTAAAACGCACTATGCGCAGTTATATTATATGCATAATCCATAAAATATTGTTAAGTTTTTTTTTAAATGTTTCATTAAAAAATATTTAGGGCATTAATACTATCTCACATTAATTGGTGGTGAAAGTTTAGCTCCTGGAAATATCCCAGAGTCTCAGCACATGTATGTACATTCACATACATGTGCTGAGATACATGTGTAACATTCATAAGTTTAAGTGAAACGAATATATATATATATGTGTGTGTGTGTGTGTGTGTACAGGGAGTATGCTTTAAATTTGTATTATTTTATAACTTTGAAAATAAATTCTTGAGGGGAAAATTTAAGTAAATGAGAGCATAAATAAAACATTAAATTTAATGCATAAAAATAATAGTAATAAATTTTAAAACATAAATATAGATTAGATTGAAATACGGAGCTAAGAAAAGTTGCAAACAGAGTGGAAAAAGAGTATGGGATTCGAACTTATGACACCAGGAGACATTTCTCGCTTCCATCAGCTTTACCACTACGCTATCATCACACTGATGGGATTAGCAATTTTGGCTTATGTAAATCATCAAGTAAATGAATTCTTAAAACTAAATTTTTGGGTTCTATTTCAGTGTGCTATCGTCTAAAAAATTCACCAGAGTTTATTCTTCAGCTTCTAGGCATTTCTTACAAAAATAGTTTTTTAAAGTGGCATTCCGATTGAAGTTAGACGGACTGACAAAAGCATATCCAAGTGAAAGATGTGCTGACAAATATATATTAGTTAATAAGGTATATGTATAAATAGAGAAATATAAACTTAACATACTTTTTAATGCAGTAGAATATTTAAAAGGATATCAAATTAAATTTATAAATAACATTATTACTTTTTATCTGTTTCAAAAGAAAAAAAAAAATCATTTAATGCCTTATCTGATTTGCTATAGTAGTTTTATATAGTCAGACTTCATTTTCATTAAAAGTAAATGTGTATGCAGAACTAGGAAATAATTGAAAGGACAAATTTTGCTATTTTCTTTTCTTTTTTTAACTAAATTCAGTTGATTGCTGTCTTTTTCGGTATGCAGATTTCTCGCTATATAATTCAAAAATAAGTATTTTTTTAGCAAAACATCCAGACTTTCCCTGATCCAGCATTCATCGCTACTTCTGCCGTCATTAGTTTTTGGTGACGACACCTGATGGCTCCTTTTGTACCATGTGACCCCAATGCTTCTGCAGACATATGGATAGAAGATGAACATTGTTGAACTCCATCCGTACGTCATCAGTCACCGCACATCGACCAGATTGCAGATTTTAATCAAAGTGAATTCATTCGCTGATTAAAGAAACACATACGCAGAAGTGGAAACAGGCCTTAAGGCCTTGCCACTTCTCTTAGCTGTTGTTCTGTAACTATAGCATGCATAATGGGGTTATCACATTTTAACAAAGCAGAGAAATTTTTCTGAGAAATGAACTTTTCCTTTTCCTACCATTGAAGGTTTCGTAGCTGAAACACTTTCGCTGTAACCGATGTCCTGTCTACCTGGAACATAAATTTTCTGTCTCTAATATATACAAGCAAAATATAAATAAATGGATTGATTTAGCTACATATATGTTTACTAACCCTCCACTCAAAAAATTATTTTGCGTTTACACTAAACTAAGTTACTGCAAAACCAGTGAGTGGTAAAAAAATTTTACTACCTACTAAGTGGGCAGTGGTATAAAAATATTGACTACCCCTGATTTGTGCAATCAATTTTTACTACTTTGTAGCTAATTATTTCTTGCTTAGGCTGCAAATTGGTTCATGAACTATGACAATTGTCAACATAAACCTTGGGTTTCAGGTTTCTTCTGACCAGTTGTCCATATTTCAGTTGCAATAAAAAATTATAAAACACTTCCAATTTTTTGCTTTGGTTTTTCTATAAGTGTTATTGTTTTTATATGAACTGTTTGTTTTTCTTTGCATTATAAATTTCACGATGGAGATGTAAAACTTCATTTACCATTTTTTGAAGACTGTTAAATCTCTCAAAGTTGATCTATGACTTCTAATATAGCAGAAAGTTAATTTAGCTTTGTAAAAGCCTTCAAATAAGTAAGTCCTTTAAGGAGGGGGGAACAAATTCTGATTGAATTTCTTCATTCTTCCCTCTTCTCTAATTCTCTTCTTCTTGTGTTCATATTCAGTGAATTCCTCATTAGTTAGTTCACAATACTGCTGGTCTAGCAAGAGTAAAATATCTGCAACTTCACATTGCAAGGAAAGATCTTTAGTGAATGTCACAGTATTTTCATGAATCGTTTGAGATCATTCTTATGATTGAAATATTTGAATTCATATAGAAAATGCTTATCAACATCCAAATTCCATTCATACATTTAACTCTAACACTTTCCCAAGCAGTAGCAAGACTTTTAATGCTCTTCAAAATGTAATACTTTTTTTCCAGAATCGTGCAACAAAGGCTGAGCAACTTTATCATTTGTTGCAATAGCCTGGCAGATGTAACATGTAAGTAATTTGCCTTAAATGCAGTAGTGAAACAAGATTCCACAGGCCGAATCAATGGCATTGTATTTGGGAACAAGAAAACAGTATTCACATTGGTATTTGAATTTGCTAAATGTGAAAGATGGTCAAGTACATTATCTGAAAATAATAAAATTTTGAAAGAAACTCTTTTATTCATATTGTCATTGCTCTAAAAACTGAAAAGCAGCTGTGAAGTTAACTGTGCGTTGGATTTTTTAAGATACATATTTTTCATTTCTGAATAATATAACTGATTTAATTACTGATTTTTAAAATGAATGTTTTGTTTATTAAATTAACATTTGATTGTTTGTTATTTGCTTTTTATCTCTGATAATTTATTTTTTTATTTATTTAGATGCATGATCATATTTGGTACAGGATTCTTGGTGACTGAAAATTTATGTTACTTGTTGTGGTTTAATAACAGCTGGTGTCATCTGCATTAAATATGGATTGCCCTAAAAGTGTGACTGTCTCTCCAGGAGCTTCACCTATTAAAAGAAACCGTTCTGTGAAAGCAATTAATCTTGATCTTGCAATAAATAAGTTAAAATCAAAAGCTGCTCCTGATATATGTATGATTGGAAAAAATACAAATTTGGATAAACGTAACGGAAATAAATTTTCTTCCTTGAAAAAGCATAAAACCTCCTGTAATGAAATGAAGGATATTAAGAAGAATGAATCTTCTGATGCAAAGATATCAACTGTAAACAGGCCAGAGGTTGAAGAAAATCTAAGTTCACCCCTTCAGAAAGTAAATCCTACCAAATGTGTTTTATCCCCAAAATCTGTACCTACAGTCATTACCGTACCTCAGAGTAATGATTTGAGCGACAGTGATGTAGTTGAAGAAAAATTTAGTGATTCACTGAATGAAAATTTTGTCAGTAAGTGTTATATTATGTGGGAAAATAATTCAAATCTTTGTTGGCTGGATGCATCAATGTCTTTAATTGTGCATAACCATACACTGCGTAAAGTGTTTAAGAATAGTCTAAGTTTTAAGATTACTGAATCCCCTCAGATTATGAAGATATTTAAATCGTATTATGAAGCAGTTTATGTCATTAATGATAGGAATCTGTCAAAGAGATATGATCCAAGGCTGAAAATCGCTAAGGAAAAATTAAAAAATATTCGGGAAAGTACACTTTTATATTTACAACCATTCATGAAATGTAAAGAAGGTGAGCCTGATTCTGCCTTCTGCTCTCTTTATAATTTGATAGCTAAAGATGAAAATGTAAGAAATCATTTTGAAACAGAATATGCTGTTTTGAGGGATTGTAAAAAGTGTAATGTGCGCAGAACTTTAAAGCATAAGAAACCTATTATCACCCTCTCTAAAGTGAAATCTTTTGAACCTAGTGCTCCAGTTTCTCTTTTTCAGTGTTCTTCTTGCAAAGAACGTGATCAGGAAATGGTTTTGATATATAAAAGTTTACCTCCTTGCTTAATATTTCACTTTGAAAATGGAGCAGGCACTGGAGCTATTCAGCATCTTGAATTTGACCTGCAGGGACGTATGTATAAGCTTACTGGTTTAATGACCATGGAAAAAATTTCTGAATCAACAATAAATCATTATATTACTTGGATACGTGACCCAGTCACCAATAAATGGCTTGAATGCAATGACTTGAAGCCAGATATATTGACTTTTGTTGGTGAACAACCAGATATTAAGCTTCAGAATATTCATATTATTATGTTTGAAGCTGCTGATGAATTGGGAATAATAACGAACAATTCAGCTGTTTTGAAAAGTGTGTTATGTGATGAGGATGCATTGGAGAAGAAAAATGATGATGTTCCTTTTATTGATATTACAGAAGAGGAATCGAACTCAAAATCTAATTCAGTTATAAATGATATTTCCACTACCGTAGACAAAAAAATCAATTCAATAGAAAGTAATGCTGCTGCATTACTTCGTCATGGAACCACTATCAGTTTAGTTGAAAGAAATCAGATTACCATGGATACTGAGTATAATGTTTGGGATACTGAACACGATAACAATCTTGATCAATCAGCTAAGACTGTTACTTTTTCAGAATTGGGAAATAATGTTTCTAAACTAGTGAGGAGCTTTCATAAAGTATCAGACGATAAAAAAATTTCTGATGACAAGCCAGATAAAAATATTTCTGAAAATAATCTGAAATGTGTTATTGAAAATGCAAGTCCTTTAAAGCCAGAAAATGTAGAAATTTTTGAAACTTCAATGGGAAATGCTGCTGTTAAAAGAAAATTGTTTCTTGATCATGAAATCTGTGTTAAAAAGTTCAGGGGAGTGACTACAAAAAGCACTTCAAATGAAATTTCTAATTTTCAGATGCGACAAGATGAAGTTATTTCACCCATTAAACACAATCCATGTCAATCTGACATAAATTCTGATGCTTATGGTACTGAGAATGAGGAATTATCTTTACAGATGTTGCCATTGGAACCAAAAAATAAAAATTTTATAGAACCTGACCAGAATGAATTTCAAACCATTCTTGATGCTATGAAAGAAAAACCTACAGGGGATGAACTCTGTGAGCAAAGAAAGTTAGAAAATGTAATTTGTGAATTCATAAACAAATTTACAAAAATTCAGAAGTTAGAAGAACGTATTAATGCTTTGGAAACTAGGATAGTGAAAAATGTAGAAGCTGAAGATGAATGTCCTCAAAAGTTTAAGATGCTAAAAAATGAGAATTCATTTGGAGTAAAAGAACAAAGCTTCATGGACACTGAGGAAAACTCAGAAAACAAACTATCTAATCAACCAATAAAATCTTCAGAGACACCAAATGCAGTTAATAAATGTGTAGAAACTTCAACTGTTCCTAAGCATTTAAATCAGAAAAACTTTCCTAGTATGGATTTTTCAGTTCTTGCTAATGGGAAAATAAGTGGTGATTTTGCTTCAAATGATAAATTTTGTAAAGGAGAAAAAGAGTTTGTTTCTAGATTCAGTTCTGTTAAAAGAAAAAGCAATTCATTGTATGATAATTCTGGTCAAAATATGAAAATTCAAAAAATTGTTGATGGAGTAACAGAATATTTTATGAGTCGTATATTTGATTGGTTTAAATTTTGATTTGGAGGTTTGGGTGATTAGAGTAATTTGTTTCATTGTATTTCATGTTGTAATACATTTTGCATACACAAAGGGCATTTTCATTTGCACACAGATTATTATGTTATTTCCTTGTTGGATGCACTAATTTACTTGTTGGCGAAACAGATTAACTTTGCAAAGTTGTAAGGAAGTATTTTGGTTTATAAATGTATTAAATTCATTTATTTCAAATGAGAGCTCATTTTTATTTATGAAATGCAAGTTTTTATTTGTTTTCCAAATTCATTTTTATTTATGAGATTAATACCTTTATTTAGTATTTTTACTGTGATTGCACTCTTAGTGTGTTTATTAATTAGTTTAATTCATCATTTTTATTTATTAAAATTAGTCTTAGTTTTTTTTTTAAACCTAAAGTTATAAATCTACTTTAATTTTACATATATATATATATATATATACATTATGTAGAACATTGCCTTGTTTAACACATTTTCAGAACCTAAGTTTTTATTATGTTGTAGGGTTTTTGCAAATATTTAAAACATTTAAAATCAATTTATATTTTACTTTTATGTTTATCACTACATAATTTTTAAGCTTCTGTCTACTGAATTTAAATCAGTTGTATTAATTATTAATTTGCATTTAAAAGAAATGAGTACTTTTATGTATGCACAACATACAAGTATAAGTAAAAGGCATGTATGTTATGAAAATATCAAAATTCTGTCATCTTATGGTATTTAAATATATATTAGCTGTATTTTTCCAATAATATTTTTAGACATTTGGGGAGGGGAGAAATTTGTGAAAAATCTATTTTGCAGTATAGTAGTGTTGATTTGCTAAACATATATTCAGAATTTTCTTTTTAGCACTTTTATCCACCTTGTGACCCCATTTGAAAGTGTGATTTATAATTTGAATACCACTTCTGTAAGCCTCAAACATCTTCAATTGGTGATTTGGATTTATTTGAAACCAAATTTTCACTCAGTTTCTATTTTCTACTGAACCTCTGTTCATTCTTTTAGTTACACCTAGTAACATTTGTTTTCCTCCATGTAATCAGATATATTGTGTTGCAGTTTAATCATCATAAAGTAAATTACATATTTATAATTAATTTACTGGTTCATTCTCTTAGAAAAGCATCCTGTGTTATCAGCTTGATATTTATTTTTTGTGTTCATTCATCATGGAATTTTTCTGTTTCTTGTCATGGCTTTGAACCTATGATGAAAATAATGATGGAAGGTTTGATTTTAATTAATTATAAGAAACATGTAATTGGTTTAAATTAAAATCCTAAAAATATTTCAAGAATGAAAACTGGCTTTTTATTGAAACAAGAATTTAGCCTTTTCATATTGTAATTAAAGCCAAATATTGTTTATTATATTATTGATTAAGCAGACTTATTTATATGCATTATTTTTATTTTGTTAAAAAGTGGAAACAATAAAATACAGTGCCTTACATTGAAGCATACATATGGAATTGTAGTTTCTGATTATGGAAGTATAACTTCATTAATCACTGGAAAATGTCTTAAAGTATTTGAAAAAATATTTATTATTTATTAATTATAATTATTATTATTTATTTTTCAAATTCATGAGCCAAGTTATATCACTTAAGAAATTGAAAATATCTGTTGATTTATAACACTGTGATAGTATACACTTATATGTTATTGAAACTCCTTAATTATAAATTTCTCTATGCACTATGTTCTGTAAAAGTACGAATTTGCCTTAAAATATGATTGCCTTTTGAAACCTGTTTAACACAGTCATATTTAAATTGAAATGTATATAGGTATTTTTGTATGATATGGAAAAAGTGATTTGTGATTGTCTCATGTTACATTTCTCTCTCTCTCTCTCTCTTTCTTTCTTTTTTTTTTTTTTTTTTTTTTTTTTTTTTTTTTGTGACATTTATTATGGTTTGTTCATTTAGATATATATAACCATACCTTGAAATTATTTGACTTTCTTGTTGAGTTCTTCTGTTTTGATAAGAATTAACTAGCACTGAAGTTGTTAAATTGAAAAAGGTGTGTATTTTATTTATGAAGTTTTTGCAAGTTCAAAGATATCTTATATTGAGTGTAAACTTTCTGTTATCATTTGAATGTATGCATAACAACTATTATATAAAGTATATATATATAAATCATTAAAATGTTAAATGCAGTAATAAAAAATGTGATTCTGTATTGAAATAAAGTCTTATTAAAATAGCCCACTTTATGAAATTGGGATGGATATAACTTTCAGTATGAAAAAAATAATAAAAAAATACATAGTATAAAATTCAGTAGAGTAAAAAAATTCAGGTCTAGCTTTTCAGTGGGAAGTTCAGAAGAAAAAAGCACTCAACTGTGATACAAGTATAGTATGTCCCGATTTAAAGTTCATGTTCCATGATTGCAATGAAGAAATAATTACAGGGACTTTGAAAAAGGAAACAAATACACAAAAGCAACTTTGATGTTTCAATTTCTAATGGAAATTCTGACTTATGAATTATGTTGATGAAGACAGCAGAAAAATGCTGATAATACACATCGGAAAGTAGGTGCATAGTTCAGTGTAACCTGTAGGCTTGATTGCCGCTAAAAGATCTGAACCTAAAGTTCCAAGTTTTAGAGGCCCCAGACTGCATTATAACTTAACACTACATTTCTCTCACAAAACTGAAAAGAGAGCATTGGAGGTTGTTCAGGAGTTAGTGATGCATCAAAAACTGATTGTTTAAGCTCTGTAGATATATCATTTTTATGTTTGAAATAATTTTTATTTTCCTTTCTAATGGTATTATTTCGGCCTCATTTTGGATTAACAGTACTTAAATTTTTCATTTACATTTACAATTCCATACATTTTTAAGCCATTAGTATGTTTTGTTTTTCCATGCCTGCAAAGCTGTTAACGTATAGAAAATAAATGCTGAAGAAGCACTAGTGCATTTTCTGTTTGATGTTATTCTGACCAACCATTTTATGTTGAAGTCGGTACATCAGTGCATGTATGCATGCTTTTTATTATTATTATTTTTTTTTTTTATTTATAGTAATTTCTTACCCTTAATTTTATATTTTTGTAAGTCCTAAGTTATTAGATTAAGATGCTCAGAAACATGAAATTAAGACGGTTGAAAAATTTTCTTAAAAATATCATGAAAAGTGATTGAAGGTATTTCTGTCAGTCTGCTGCACAAGAGATTTGCAGATAAGAAAGATGGTAGATTTATTTATTTAAGAAAATGCAAATTATTTTAGAAATGGAAGTAGTAGTAGTTAGTAGCTTAAGTCAGTTTGCATGAATATTTTAATATGCGGTATATAATTTCTGAATAAAATTTATGATCTAAAGTTTTTGTTTTACTCATATGATCTGTTTTTTGTTATTTTAAAATATTATTTACTTAAAGGTATTTTAAAAAAAATAAGGTAATTCTCCCCATTTGTTTGCTTCATTATGCACTAATTATCTTCATAGAATGTTAAAAAGAAGAACAATGCAAACGTTAAAACATGTTAAAAACAATGCAATGCAAAATGCATCTAAAGAGCGAAGCTCAAATGAAGGTAAAAGGTTTTTCAATACTCCGAATTTGACTCTGAACTGAAAACTGAGAGGAGATGCTCTCTCCAGTCTTATATAGTTTTCATCCAGTCATCAAGAAATCTCTAGTATCTTCCATATCTCAAATTACTGGAAAGCATATATGTTTTAAAGCTACATCTAAAGGCCAGATAAGGTTACAGTTACACAGAAACTGGATGTCGCCAAATGTGACGATTTCTAGCTAAATTTGGCGACAAAATTAGTTGCCGATTTAGCGATATCTTGCCAGTAGAGTGAAATAGACATTTACCCAATGTTAAATAGATTTGCCTCTGAAATTTTATTTTTCCGATGAAGCTTTGTCTTTTCAGACTTTTCATTTTACATTATAACAGTGAAGTTTACCTGTAATTTACTCGGGGCGATGAGCGCATCCACTTTCGGTTTTAAACTGCACCATTTCACAGCTTAGAAGAGCTTGTTAATTCATAATAAATGGCGATCAATAATGAACACACCACCTTCACGATACATAAATTTACTTTGCACACACACATAAAAATATAATAACTAAATTTTACAGAAGAGAACTTCGCCAAAATATGCTGGTTCACGCGCACCACACCTCTTCCTTTTGCCTCCTTCACTCAAATGCCCATCTTGGCAAGTTTCTTTTACTGGCGCTTCTGTGCCAAAGTCCACATTTGGTGAAATTCGCCATCTTGGCATTTATATAAGTTTAGACCATGCGCACAGTCAAAAATCTAAACTCATTTTTTATGTATCATTAAGTTACAGTAAGATTATATCATTTTCGTTATACCTGTTTCACTGTGCATGGTTCAATGCACCTGTTTCATTGTATATATTTCAATGTACCTTGCATACACATGCTAAGTCCTACCCTAAGTGTGCCATTTAATTGAAGCATACAAATCACATATATAAAGACCTCTGCATACACAATACTTATATATGATAATATAACAAATTTCTTATTTTTATATGTAACACATTTACATCAACTCGCGGCATTTCTTTTAAAGCTGTCCACTTTTGTTGCGTTACATACATTCATTTCTGGACCTCCAACTCCGTAAATTTTCCACTCCACAAAGCTTTACTTTTTAAATCGATCCAATTGCATTTCTAGAGATTCAGTATCAATTCCAAATGGCTCAATGTGGATTTCGTTACTATTTGTGTTGAGAGGATTTACTATGAATGCTAGAGGGGTTTTGAATTGCTCAAATCTGTCATCAAATTCATCTTTAATTATTATTATTATTATTATTATTATTATTTGTAACTGAAGTAATTCGTGTCAACAGTTGCACTGGTTTTATCGTGATATTGCTTTAGAATTTGAGAATGAAGTAATTTACCGCTCTGAATATCTTCTGCAAAAAGAATAATTTTTCTTCAAAACAAACCAATTCTTCTTCCAAAACATAAGCTGGGTTTCCCTTTCCTTGCAGTTTTAGATTCAGCTCATTTAATTTTGCTGTGACATCCACCATAAAGTAAAATTTTTGCAATCATTTGTCGTTCTCTAATTCAGGGTGATTAATGCCGTTTCATTTAGGAATGTATTTATTTCATTCAAGCACAAAGGAGAACGTTTCAACACCTTTGCTTTGGAAAGCCATCGTACTTTATTGTGAAGAAGGAGGTCGGAATACTGAGTCTCCATTTCGTTTCAGAATTCTTTAAACTGGCGATGGTAGAGTGCTTTTGACAAGATGCTCTTAACAATCTTGATTACCAAATTCATGGCCTTAACTATTTCTGCCGGAAATATTTGGGCACAAAAGAGCTTCTTTGGTGTATTATGCAGTGAAACGTAAGAATTTCGTAGTTTATTTTGCTCTGAAAAATCGTTGTTGCCCCTTTATTTCTCTCTGCCATACTTCTGGCTCCATCAGTTGCTATTGAAACGATTTTATTTAAATCGATCTTATTGTTTTCAACGCATTTTTGCACGGCAATCGCTATATCTTCCCCTCTATTTTGTCCCGCCCGAGAGCGGTAGCAATCCTATAAGTTCTTCTTTTGGATCTTGAGAAGACATGTACCTGACAAAAAGGGCAACTTGTGCCGTGTCTTTTATGTCGCAAGACTCATCTATAGCAATTGATAAGGCAGAAGAAAGTTGAATATCTTCCACCTGCAAATACGTTACATTTGAAAGACATTTTAGCTATTCTATCTTGTACTGTTTTAGCGGATCTTTGATTTTTTTTTTTTTTTTTTTCAAGACTTCTGGTTTGTTAATGAAATCACAAAACAAATGCACGTATGAAGCAATCTTTGACATACTCACCATCTGTGAATAGTTTGCCTTTTTTTCCAACTTCTAATGATCCCGCGTAGCTTGCCAGATTAACATTACTTGTAGATTGCGTCCAGTTACTTAACATGGAACTTGATTGCTGTTTTTGTTTTTGGAGCTCGTCGACAGCTTTTTTCCGTTCTTCGCCGGCTGAATATATACTAGCAAACTGAGCATGGTTTTAGTGAAGTGTCTCTCTAAATTTGATTTCTTATCGTGTGCGAGTTTTTCGTGGCAAATGAGATAAGTCGGAAGGCCATCTGAGTTGCATATGAAAGTGAACGACTGCGTCCAATCCCGATTGAATTCTCGATGCTCTTCTTTAGTTCTCTTTTTTTTTTGGGGGGGGGGGGGGGGGGTAAAATAAGTAATATTTGCGTATGGAACTCAACAGCCGCAGCTTCATATCCAAAGAGCCCCATGTGTCTCGCGAGCCGCAGGTTGCCGACCCCTGACTTGGAACATTCTCAACGGTAATGCTAGCAACTTATTACAATTCTAAAATGAGTAAAATAAAATAGCAAACATTAGTGATATATCAGATTAAATAACACGTTGCTAAAAATATGAATTTCCGCAACATTTGATATAATTTGCAATTATATTTACTCGTATTACATAAACCAAAAGTAAATATATTTTAGTAGTAGAGTAAAAGTACTTAAAGTAGAGTGCAATGAAGGAAACCACTGGCGGATACATTTTTAAGAGCCACCGCTAGCTCAATAAATAAATGTGATTTAAATAATAAAATATTAATTCACATGTCAAAGATCTCTTTGTACACAACATTTCTTGTGTAGATCTTTCCATCATTTTTAAGCTCGCCTTGCAGAGGACCATTAGTTATTTTTAATTTTACGTCCGTTCTTTCACGAACTCTTGAACAGGCAACAAAAAAGTTGACCGTGTCCAAATGCAGGCTCAGGTGAAAAAAAATGCTAACACGCTTAAGCGTTTGGCCCTGAGACTGATGGATGGTCATAGCAAAGGCAAGTTTTACACGAAATTGTCTACGTCTGAATTGAAACGGCAACCCTGTAGCGTTGTGCCTGTGTGTTGGCTAGTACAGTTACGCAAGCAACCAATAAGCTGGGCGACAAACAGGCACTTAAGCCGCATATATATGTGGGGTGAAGTAACATTGTCTCCTCCGACACGGCTGGCTCCCGGGCTTAGCGAAGCACACCGTTGGATTCCGAAGGTCCGTAGCACGCCATTTTGACCATTCGCGCCTTCGTGGGATTTTAATTAGCAAATATATTAATTAAAAACGAAGCTTCCCCTACATTTTCCACTTTCTTTCTTGAGTTTTCCCTAATAGAGGGATTTCGCTACGTGCCAAATTCTTTTTTCTCGAATATCTACTAAACGGCGCCGAGTTGAAATTCGAGACTGATAAACTGGGATTACAAACAATTTTCCGAATCCATTGATACCGTTCTCATCTTCGTAAGACTTTAATCGGCCGAGATATTAATTAAAAACTGCGGAAACGTTAATTTCCGCGCTCACTTTTCCGAGTGGCAACAATAAACTATCGGCGACAATATATATATAAAGATTTAGCATCTAAACCCGAATTAGAGTTCGTATTATTATTTTGCTTTACGAGTGTGATTCTAAAATTTAGGAAGTGAAGGAAATTTATTTATAAATAGTAAGTGTTTTTCGTTGGTCTCTTTCGAGAGGTGTACTTGGAGTAGCTCATCTGGACAAGTTCGTGAGTATATTTTTGATTTCTACGCTTCATTATCGACATTGTCTTGTACATCGATAGGATAGCTTGACTTGGTAAATATGGATGAGATAAATGATTTAGCAGTCCTTAATAAGCGCGGATATTGTTGAGAATATTCTTAAACATGGCACGATTGAGGATTGTAGGCAGATTATGGCTGAGTTTAACTTAGCGTTTAACACGCTTAGAAATGGCTTACGGAAAATCACCCCAGAAATGGAGCAATGGCTCCAAAAACCTATGCAGAGCTTGAGAGAAGTGTGTAGCGATTAAACAAGCTGCAGGAGATTCAGTGCAAAATATCTGCGGTAGCATCCCGTTAGTTAATACTAGCAATGATTCGACATCTAATCAAACTACAAAGCAACCCAAACCAGTTTCAAATGTTATTCAGGAAATAAGCAAAATAAATAATTATAATGAAAAATGGATTACACCCAAAAAATACCACAAACGCACACTTAGTGAAAGCAGCAACGGTTCAATGACGTCAACCAAAAATAAATACGCTTCACTAAAAATAGATGATAAAATGGACACTACAAATGTTAGTTCGCTAAACTCACAAGAAGACAGTACTATTAATGAAGGTGATTTCATCACGCCCAACAAAAAGGCTAACAGAATTCCGCCGATTATCATTTCAGATGTCACGGACTGGAAAGACTCAGAGATAATATTAAGCAATTTACCATATCCATGGAATGTGTACAGAAAGGTGGTGATATCCA